TTCACTGATATTGAACTTCAAAAGGCACCTACCATGTTTCTGAACCCTTAAAATGCCAAAACACAGCCCTAAAAGAGCAAAGGCGTACCACTGATTCTTCGGCAACTTCTTACTGCTGTTTTTAGATCAATATTCAAACAGTAAGATCACTTTCAATTAAAAAAGCGCAGACATTTAATAGTTGTATTTTTCTGATCTGCACAAATGTCACAGAAAGAAAATGACCTTCTGTATGACTTGTTCCGAATCAAAATCAATCCCCTTCTTTGGGGTAAAAAAAAAAGCTATTTCTTCACGTCTTTGTCTGACTGCGTGGGGTTATGGGAGAACTTCTGAATATAATATACTGGCTCAAATAAAAGGGAAGAGAAAAGTGGAAAGCACTAGAGAATCGGGGAAAAAACAGGATCTGCCCAAGGAAGCAGCATTCCTGGTTTTGAAGCTCGGTATCGGATTAAGCCTGGGAGCGATCTACGAGGATAGCGTGCAGAGGGGCATAGGGCTGCTGCAAACCTCTAACTATCCAACCGGCTTGCCATGCAGATCCTCTACACATGACTCAACAGCAGGAATGTGTGTTTATTATTTGGAGGAAGAAAGGTCTCCGACAGCAGACTGCGGAGGCCCTGGGGCCCGCAGAACCTCCATGAATCCGGTCAAAGCACCCTCCCTCCACGCCGCTGTAGCACTGCGCTTCCTGTATTGCACCGCAACCACTTTCCACACGAAGTGGTGTGACGGCTCCCCTACTATTCCTTCTCACCCTTCCTCTTGGGGTCTCCGATGAAAAGAGCTAGGTGTAAAAAGTACAAGGGCTCCCCTGTCACTACAGGCGCGGGGAACCCCGCGCATGAATGTGGCCGGAACTGTTGGTCCGTGTGGTGTGGACACGGTGTGGATGTGTGCCGCGCTGCCGCCGGAGGCCGATGGTAAAGACTGGAACGGCTCCACCCGCTCTGAGCTCCTCTGGGGGCACTCTGGGGCTTGTGCCCCCCCGGGTAATCGTAGCAGTGTGCATGGGGTGTGGGATGGGACTGGGCGTCTGGTGGCACAGATCAGGCTGGGGGGGGTCGTGGCTGCCCCCGGCCTCACGTTTGGTGCACCTCGTGGAACATGAGCTCTCGGGGGATGCGCGTCTCGGGCCCGTATAGCTTCAACGCCCGGCGCTCGAAGGCGGCCACCATCTGCTTGACCACCTCGTCGAAGAACACGGTGGCCAGCTGGGAGTGCAGCAGCGAGCGGAACTCGAAGGAGATCTGCAGGGGGCGGAGAGAAAAACCTTCACAGAAAACAGAACTTTCGTTTCTGCTCGACTACAAAAACTGTTTGGCAGTGATGAGAGCCAAGCAAGGGGTGGCGTTTTAAGCTGAACTGAAAAGGTGCTTAAACAGGTGTTTTAGGAAGTATGACTGGGCCAGGGATGAAGGACACGAGGAGTCTACAGACTACGATCTGACCTCCTCGAATTTCTGGTGGCCGTAAAAAAAGACCCTGGGCTCTCCGCGATTCCCGGGAAAACGGGCTGGACAACAACAGGTAGAATAGAAGACAAAGGTGTGGCACTGAAGCGCTGAACGCCTCTCTGTGGCAGTATGCCCGCTAAGGCCATCTGCCCAGCCTCTAGGGGGGAACAAAGGTGCCACTCACAGAAAAGTCGACAGTGCAGGTGCGGGGGTATCCGGGGATGCCAGGGCTGAAGCGCCATATCGTCTCGAGGTGGTTGAACAGCTTGCCATCAGTGCACACCGCCTGGGGAGCCAGACAGAGGTAAGACCTACCCTTCAAGCTGACAACGCCATCTGGCAATGGAAAGGCAGCAAATCTTTTTATGTTAAAGAATCTGAAAAGATGGCACCCGTTTAACTTCTAATGTGAAGAGCACTCGGACTGTTCTTGAAGATACAGGGTGGATAACAGAATGAAAAGCTAAGAACGTCTTCCCTCCCCCGAGCCCTGGAGAGCAGATAATCACAGCTCTGTTTGGTCCAGGGCGCTGCTGGTTGTCTGTGACAATGCGAGAGAGCAAGGGTACCTTGACGAGATGGGGGCGCACGTTGGTGATCATGGAGGTGTATTTCTCGACAATCGGGGGGAAGCCCACCTCCAGCTGGGCCTTGATGTGACCAGATCTCTTGAAAACCACTAAAGACTTCTTGCACCAGGGCACAAAGTGCTTGTAGTCATCTACATTGGACACAACATCATACATCTCTTGCATAGAGTACCTGCCGAGAAAGAGAAGGACAAGATTAATTCTTATGGCAGAAACACGTCAACCACATTGCCAACAGGCAAAGATTGCTTTCTCTTCACTGAAGGGATGTGCTGGCAATGGGGTGAAAGATAGTCTTAATGTCCGTAAGCACATAGATGGAATTAAATATCAAAATGCAGTTGTGACTGACATTGCTGAACCGGATATCAGTCAGCATGCTGACACTGTATGTGTCACTGTTACGTACCGAGACCTACTGTACACTCCTCATAGAACTAGAAAGAGCCAATTCTGTCTCGAAAGCATATGATCACCCTCTCAATTTTCTTTTGCCTTTGGGGAGATTATGGCAGAATCTACTGGGATCTGTCTTTTAACCAAAGCGGCAAGTTAGGAAAGGCGGCACACACGTCTGCGAGCATGTCCACACTGAAAACAGACTGTGACCTATTGGGCAGCTGTTCAGTGACCTGGTTATAAATGACACCTTGGCTGTTCTCATCCATCTAGTCTGCTGATGGCCTGGGTTACTGATCAAAGGTCAGCAGCCGATACGCTGAAAGCCAAAGGCACGACAATGTAATTGGAACTTGAAGGATGACCCACATGATCGGGTTCCTCGCTCAGACCTCCCGTCACGCGGTCTGGCAGGCCTGTGCCTCCGCGTCACGTGCCACAGGAAGATACAGGGTGGCTGTATGCTCGTGACCAAGTTCGACTTTCATTTATAACTAGAAGTAGCTTGACCGTTGTTTTACGAGGCATTACGGTGGCTTTATGCCTGTGACTAGGCATGCAGTGATTCGTTCCAAAACACAGATAGGTACTTTAAATGCTGGTTAAAGCATGAGCATGTTAAAAGAAAGCCTAACGGAACTAGAAAGTCAAGCCTGAGCTAGCAGAGGTGGGCGGCCTTACCCCAGTATCCTGCGCTCAGAGTACTCTTTCCTCTTGTTGGTCAGCGGGTTGCTCAGGTTGATGAACGACCGGCTGTGAGGGATGGGTGTGTCCCAGTCTAGGCAGCAGAGCATTCTGGGAGCCCGGGTCATTAGAATCCCACAGGAGGACAGGTGCCTGCAAGATTTCGGCTGGTTCACTTCTCATTCACCCAGAAATTCCACAGGAACTCATTTACACGGAACAAAAACGACTCGAGGCGGCGACGCGTTGAGTGGCAGCCAGGTCAAATTTCCAAGCCACATCAGGAGAAATTTAAGTTGTTTATAAGCAAAACATTGCTTAGGATTTTAAGAGCTTCAAAGCGATGTGACGTCACCACATCATACTGTCTAACCATCATTAATCTGACTTCTATATTGGCATTATTAATTCATGGTTAGATTATTTTTTTGAAGCAGTGTTAAAAAATAACCCTCTCATCAGAATCATGGTAGTAGTAAGACTATAGACAGCTATAGTCAGATAACAAACCTCTGGAAATGTTAGACTGGAACGGCTTTGATGTTTCCCGAGAGCCCTTCCGAAACACAGTGGGATTCCTGCTGTTACTGCAGTAGAACGATATGCAAATATTGACGCTCAATGTGATTTGAGACACTTCTAGAGCACGGAAGTATCGGCGATGACCGATCTCTCATGTAGCTCAGCAGGGTGGCTCCTATCCAGTCCCCTGCAGGACTCGATCGCTCTGTGATCCAGCTCGCCAGCAGGACACGGACACATTGTCCACTGCCCTGGTCTGGGACAGGGAGCACCAGACAGACCGATGACACTGGTTTGTAACCCCAGCCCAGACTGCGGAAGGGTGGGAAGCCGAGGGAAACACCCTGCGCAAGTTACTGAAACTCAGCATTTCAGCCACGAAAGACTGGTCAGTGTGGTCAGTATCAGAGCAGCCACGCTGCGGAGGAGCTGGACTGTCTCTGTGATCCCCACATGCCTGGGCGTCTGT